AGAGCCTTTCCTGACGGAGCTTCCTGGTGGCAGAGTGGAGGACACAGTAGGATGCCGGCATGGAGCACGAACCTGGGATACGAACTGGGTGCAGCATGGGGGAAGTAGAGGGAGATACCGAAACGGAACCCAGGAGCCAGACAGGGTGGGTGCAGAGTCTGGGGCGGGGTTTGAGCAGAGGGGGGAGATAACACACGCCAGTCCACCAAGCAGCTCTTCTCCATTGTCCCCCTCACGTGAAGTGAGTCCCCCCACCCCTGGGCTGTGAGAAGTGTGCAGCCCTCCCAGGAGACCTGAGACGGGACTCCTGCCTCCAGTCACAAGGAAGGATGAGAACGAGGCTGGCTACTGTGTTACTCAGGCCACGTGCCCGCTTGTGTCCTCTGCACTTAACAAAACTAACGCTGATGCAGTGAAAGGAGGGATTTACCCACTGCAGACTTTTGGTGAATGAAGGAGGGTGGAGCTAGGAGGGGAACTCTGCGCCTGTTGTCTCCAGCCTCCTGGCCTGCGACGGCAGCTCCCACCACTCAGAGGGATGAAGACAAGGATGTACACTGACTTCACCTCCAGCCTCCCTTCTCCCTTTGCCTGATGTCACTCCAGCAATGGAGGCCAGGGAGTGGGCCTGGTGCTGCCAACACCACATGACTCAGGGCAACAGGCCTCTCTTCCTCCTTACAGGGTCCCTGAGACAGCCGCTCTGCCCTCTGTGGCAGGACCCAGTGTAGGCTGGGGTCCCCCGCCTCAGTCCTGCTAGATGGTTTCCGAAAGCCCTCCACGCTTACCTGCTGCCCACAGAATAAAGCACTCCTCCTCCTCAACCCAACTGGCCAGGCCTTCACGCTTCAGCCCCAACCTGACCTTCCAAATCAGACCCTATTGCCCCCACTTCTATCTGCCCAGCCTCGCCCAAGCCAGACAAGGCGACCTCTCCCAGATCTCGCTGGAGCCCATTCCTGTGACCTTGACTCTGCCTGTTCCCTGTATGTGGAATTCCATTCCTGTGTCTCTGCATCTAAATCCTCCTTTCCCCAAGGCCCAGATCAAATATTCTCCGCTCTTTTCCCCCTCTGCTGCCCCCACACTGGCCGAGGGCCTTTCTAGATGCATTTGCTCACTCCAGGCAGACTCCCTACCTCCTCTGGGGCCCCTGCTGTTGCTGAGTCTCTCTTACTCCCACAGATGCAACCATGAGGAAGAAGGAGCCCCTCCCCTACTGGGCTGCAAGCACAGCAGGGACAGAAGGCCTATCCGAATTCTCCCGGTGTCCCATCCGAAAAATCACAGGGACACAAGACAAACGGGCTGAGCTCATGACTGACAGAATGCAATGAGGTATTTGAAGGGTCTTTGCAGCATATGCATGGCAGGGGCCACGCTGCGAAGGGCCAGATTTGGGTTTGGAGCAGGGACTGTGTCTGGGAAAGGGCTACGCCAGGGTTCTCCATCCAGGCAGCTACAACCCCACCCATTCCCACTCTCATTCCAGCCAGGACAGACAGCACCTGCCCGATCCTTGGCCCCTGGGGCCAGGTCAGGGAATAGAAGCCCTGCCCAGCCCCCTGCTTGGAAGCTACTGGCTTCGTCTGGACCTCCGTTGGGTCTAACTAGGCAAAAGCACTTGCAAGGGAGTAAAGAGACCTGGATTCCAGCTCTGACCTCCGGGAACTAGAGGTCTGACCTTCACTCTTTTTTTTTTTTTTTCTCTTTTTTTGATAGGCAGAGTTAGACAATGAGAGAGAAACAGAGAGAGTTATAAACAGTGAGAAAAGTCTTCCTTCCATTGGTTCATTCCCCTTATGGCCACCACAGCTGCGGCCGGCACTGTGCCGATCCGAAGCCAGGAGCCGGGTGCTTCCTCCTGGTCTCCCATGCGGGTGCAGGGACCCAAGCACTTGGGCCATCCTCCACTGCACTCCCGGGCCACAGCAGAGAGCTGGCCTGGAAGACGAGCAACTGGGACTAGAACCCGGGGTGCTGGTGCTGCAGGCGGAGGATTAGCCTAGTAAGCCACAGTGCCGGCCTGACCTTCACTCTTAACACCCAGACATGGGCCAAAACCAGCATTTCCCACACTGGCCCCACAGGCCACCAAGTAAGGCCCTGTTTGGTGGTGGTGGTAGCTGCACCCACTTTGTATCCCAGGTTAGCTCCGGAGTTCCTATGGAAAATCGGTACCAGATGCTCCCATGGGCTCACCCAGCTGTCCCAGCCAGGAATCAGGGGACTGGCTGCAGATGCGGCTTTAGGGGACTGGAAAGACTTCTGGGGTCTGTGCTCTCAAGACCCCTGACCCACCACCTTCTCTGAGCAGCCCTCCCCATTATGCATGGGAGCAGTGGGGCTGCCCTGCTGAGGAAACAGGACACTGGCCTCCTTCTGGGAATGGTAAGGTGTGGGGAGAGGCTTCCTGAAAGTCAGCCTTCACCCTCCTCTCGCATGGAGGGGAGGTCAGCCCTGGACTCTCAGACGGGCACCCCCAGCTGCATTCACCCTTGCATGGGAAGCAGGGTGGGTAGGCTGCAGCTGACTGGCAAGTCTGCATCCCAGGGCTGGCTGGGTGCACAGGAAGATGAAGTGGGAACAAGGTCTCTAGTCTCTGTATCAGACAGCAGGAAGGACAACAGGAAGCAACGGTATCCCAAATGCAGACTTTAGCAATGAGCACCTATGGCTTAAACCCAAAGCAATGCTTCCCTGGCACCCCCATCCTCTGGGGGGCCAGAGGACCGAGAGCATCACTCTGCGCCCAGCAACCACAGCAGCTTCCGCTGAGCACCGGGTAACAGCCACCACAGGCAGGGCCTGGCGGGGAGAGGCAGGCGAGGGGAGGGAAAGAGACCCGCGAGGACAAGGGTAGCACTGGCCTGGCGTGGCTGTGGCTGACTCCCTCTGTTCTCCCTGCCTTGCCCTGGACAATGAAGTCCCAGATCCAACCACCTCCAGGGTCCTTCCCCTTGTCCTTCACGGGGCTGATCCCCAAGTGAGATTCGTCCAGAGAACCCTGGTAGGGACAAAGGACTGGGGGCGGGGGCACAGGTCGGGGGTGGAGACCAGGGAGGTGTCTGGTGACAGCCCGGCTGCTTCACACAGGTCATGGCATGGGCACTTGTGACTGATGGCAGGAGAAGGAGTGGCCTTGGTCTCATCACAGGGAGAAGAGGAGGCTGCAGAGTCTGCCACCCTAGTCCAGAGGGACAGGAGAGCAGTATGGGAGAAGAAAAGAAAGCGCAGCTCTGCCCTGAAGCCCTCTCCAACTGGAAGCTGGGGGTAGAGAGGTGGGGGTAGAGAGAACAGCTGCTGCCCAGCCGAGGGGCAGGCAAGGCAGGGAGGGCGGTGAGGGTACAGCACGGGGTGGGAAGAGGAGTTCAGTGCAGAGACGCTGCCTCTAAGAGTCAGGTGGACTACCCAGGACAGCACGGCTGTGGGCAGGATGTCTTTACAGGGCATGGGGGAACAGCCCCTGTGGTTTGGAACCTCCCGGTGGGTACGGGAAGAAACCATCTTTGGGGTCTGCATTCTACAACATACAGAACCATGATCAAATCCACAGCCCAGAAGTGGGGAGGGAGGGGGCTCCCACACTGAAGCACAGGCTGGGGTAGGCACAAAAAGGTCAGGGAGCCACAGAGCACCTGCCGACCCCTCTCCCCATTGCAGAAGGGCCCAGCAAGGCCCATGGATAGGCCCGATGTCCAGTTGCCTCAGTGGCAGGAAACATAAAGGATGTCCCTAAAAGGCTAAAAATTCTTGGGACCTGCTGTGTGGAAGCCCAAATGAGGTGGCAGCTGGGACCAGCCTGCGGGGGAGGGGGTACAGGGGAGAGGGTGGCTGTGGCTCAGGATCCAATTACACTGCTGTTTCCATACTTAGCCACCTGACAGCCGCTTGGAATACTCACCACTCCAGCCTGCAGCCCCACAGGGCCCAAATTAACTCAAGGGCAGACAAGGGCAGGGCCCAGCAGCACATGCAGTGGCCGGAGCCCCCAACTCACATCCCTAGCCACCACAGAACAGCTTCTGCTCCTGCCCATCACCCCTCTCCTGGCTGGAACTACACCCTGGCAGCACCCCCTTCTCAAGAGACAAAACCTCCAAACAAGACAGACTGGGACTCTAGATCCACGTGCAAAGACTAAGGGCTGAGCCAGGTGACAAAGTGGGGAGCCCTTGATACCTAGGGGATCCCCAGAGCACCTCCCCCAAGGGAAGCCAGCCCTAGGAGTCTTGCAAGAGAGGTGGCAAAGTGATCTAGTGTCCCCTCGACAGCCTATAAATAACCCCCAGGCTGCAACCCAAGCCACCTCTGCTGCACAAAATGCTGAGATGTCAAAGGAGAGCCTGGGCAGGCAGAGCCGAGCCCCCTTCCCAATGAAAGCCCCGCTCCTCACACAGGCTCTGCTCCAAAATGGGCCCTACTCCTCAAGTCCATGTCCAGCTGTTTCTAGCCCAACCCCCAGCCCTATGCCCAACCATACCCCAAAGTGACTCCAACTCTATCCCACCATGCACAAAATGATTTCCAGCTTTGACTACCACATCCCTGCATCCTCAGTTACTCAGACCCAGGTCTTCAGGTGGGGTGAGGCCCTCCATCTGTCTCCCGCGGGGTGCGAAAGTCACCCAAACGACCTGCAGCTCCAAGTGTGGGTTTGTCTGGTCTATCTTGGAGGCTCCTCTGGTCTTGACTTTTGGGGAACTCTTTACTGGCATCTGCCAGCCAGACTCTCCTCTCTCACCCCTGGCCCAGGCCTCAGGCCCACACACCTCTCTCCACTGCCTTTAGCCTCCCTAAAGCCCCCCAGCTGCTCTCCAGTTCGGCACCCTGCTCTTCCTCCACGGCCCGGGGACAAGAGAAGGGTACAAACACCAGGATCAGCAAGGAGCAAAGCTGTGCCTTCAGGCTCACACTCCCCCCCACCCCACAGCAAACAGAAAGCCTGGGGGGAGCACTGGGGGCACCATCTGGGCCTGCCTGTGCAGGGTCGGGCATACCTGCTTGTCCCGAGAGCAGGAGCGAGGCCACAAAGCAGAACAGGAGCAGCGCCCTCATGGTGACTGCCAAGAGAACCCAGCTGCTGCTCGCCTCTATTTATACGGTGGGCGTGGGTGGCAGCAACAGGCTGGGGGGCGGGAGAAGGGTCACACAGTCACTAGGGCAACTGGGCGGGCGTGATGGGGAAGAAGCCCAGACCCCGACAGGCTGCACACAGGCTTGGCTGCCGCTGTCGCAAGCCCAGCTGCCAGGCCCAGAAGGCAGGGCCCCGGCTGGATTGGCTCCCCCCACCTCCCAGCAGCTCTCGGATCACATGACCTGGAACACAGAGCAGGGTAGCAGAGATAAAGTGGGGCACCCCTGGGAGCTGGGAACCCGAGTCTTCCCAGACCTTGCACTATCTTGATCTAAAGTCTGGGGCAGGACAAGGACCGGGACAGGCCTCCGACTGACACAAGCTGCAGGTCAGATCAGAAGAGATCCTACCTGATAGTGACTGATAGGAAGCCTTGCCAATGGCCAGTTAAGGAAAACATGCGACATCTGACCTTTGAGGTGCAAGGCCGGGAGCTTAGGCTTCCAGGGGCTCTGTGGTGAGAGTGCTGAGCAGGGGGAAACCGGGGAGGCTGACAGGCACAGTGGCACTTGGGAGTGAGGGAGAGATGGAGTGGCACACACCTCTCCAAAGACCTCTTGGATGTAATTTTCTGAAGGTTTAGCTGGGGGACAGTGCCACGGCAGGGGCGGGTTGGGGAGGAGAGGTGTGGAAAAGGGAGGAAGTTAGCAGTGGGCCACAAAGAAAATGCAACCAGGAAAAAACAAGGCCTCTTGTAGGGCGAGGTGCATAAAATGGCTTTACTGAGGCATAACACACGATACATTTGTAAAGGAAACAAGCTGATAAATTCTGACGTGTGCTTAACTGTGCGGCCGTCGCCACAATCAGGATAATGAGCAGATCCCCCAAATCTTGTACACATCCCTGCAGTCCCTTCCTCCCACCCCTTCCAGGCGCTGATCTGCTCAGTCGCTATAGATCAGTCGGCATTTCCCAGGTTTTGCTGGAAATGGAATCACATCAGGTGTTTTGTTATTGTTGTTTTTTTAAAGATTTATTTATTTATTTATTTGAAAGTCAGAGTTACACAGAGAGAGAAGGAGAGGAGAGAGAGGGGGGGGGTCTTCTATGCACTGGTTCACTCCCCAATTGGCAGGAATGGCCGGAGCTATGCCGATCCAAAGCCAGGAGCCAGGAGCTTCTTCCAGGTCTCCCACGTGTGTGCAGGGGCCCAAGGCCTTGGGCCATCTTCTACTGCTTTCCCAGGTCATAGCAGAGAGCTGGATCAGAAATGGAGTAGCCGGGACTCGAACCGGCACCCATATGGGATTCCAGCAGATTTACCCGCTATGCCACAGCACCGGCCCCACACCAGGTGGTTTTACCTGTCTCCTTCCATGCCCACAGCCACTTTTTTATCTATTCCTGGCGAGGCACGTTTCTGTAGTTCATTCCTCTCCACTACTGAGTAGCCTTCCAGCTCATGGACAGACCATTCACCTGCTGACAGACTTATGAGTTGTTTCCAAGGTTCAGTATTACAAAGAAAACTCTGAGAACATTTGCATACAACTCAGTTTTTTTTGTTTTGTTTTGTTTTGTTTTGTTTTGTTTTTTTACAGGCAGAGTGGACAGTGAGAGAGAGAGACAGAGAGAAAGGTCTTCCTTTGCTGTTGGTTCACCCTCCAATGGCCGCCACGGCTGGCGCGCTGCGGCTGGCGCACCACGCTGATCCGATGGCAGGAGCCAGGAGCCAGGTGCTTTTCCTGGTCTCCCATGGGGTGCAGGGCCCAAGCACCTGGGCCATCCTCCACTGCACTCCCTGGCCACAGCAGAGAGCTGGCCTGGAAGAGGGGCAACCGGGACAGAATCCGGTGCCCCGACCGGGACTAGAACCCGGTGTGCCGGTGCCGCTAGGCGGAGGATTAGCCTAATGAGCCGTGGCGCCGGCCACAACTCAGTTTATAAATACATGCTGTCTTCTCGTAGGTGAGTGCCTAGGAGTGGAATGGCTGGGTCAGACGGCGGGTGACTTTTTTCTGAGATGCTTATACCATTTTCTGTTCTGTTCACACCAGTGAGCAGGAGACTTCCACTCCTTCCCATCCTCATTAGAACAACTGCAGTCCAATCCGTGGGCAGCGGTAACTCTGAGGAATTTTAAGTTGTATTTTCCTAAAGATTAACGATATTAAGCATGTTTTCCTGAGTATGCTTGCCATCCACGGTTTTGATTTATCTTCAGTGAAGCATCCAAATCTTCTGTCCATTTTTAATAGGTTGTTTTGAGTTTTTGTTGTTTTTTAAAGATTTTATTTATTTGTTTGAGAGGTAGAGTTACAGACAGTGAGAGGGAGGAAGAGACAGAGAGAAAGGTCTTCCATCAGCTGGTTTGTTCCCCAAATGGCCGCAATGGCTGGAGCTGAACTAATCCAAAGCCAGGAGCCAGGAGCTTCTCCCAGGTCTCCCACACAGGTGCAGGGGCCCAAGTGTTTGGGCCATCCTCCACTGCTTTCCCAGGCCATAGCAGAGAGGTGGACTGGAAGAGGAGCAGCTGGAACTAGAACTGGTGCCCATGTAGGATGCTGGCACCGCAGGCAGCGGATTAACCTACTACACCACAGGACCAGCCCGTTGGAGATTTGAGTCACTTATACATGTTGGATACAGGTCTTCCAGCAGATATATGATTTGCAAATATTTTCTCCTGTCTTTTCATTCACTTAACTGCCTTTCAAAGAGCTAAAGTTATTCAATTTTTAAAAAAATAAACGTTTATTTATTTATTTGAAAGTCAGAGTTAGAAAGGGAGAGAAAGAGACAGAGACAAAGACCTTCCATCTGCTGGTTCACTCCCAGATAGTCCCAACGATCAAGGCTGAGCCACACCAAAGCAAGGAGCCAGGAGCTTCTTCCAGGTCTCCCACTGCTTTTCCCAGGTGATTACCAGAAAACTGGACCATAAGTGGAGCAGCCAGGACTTGAACAGGAGCCTATACAGGATGCTGGTGTCGCAGGCAGCAGCTAAAGCCACTGCACCATAATGCCAGCCCCTAAAGTCTTTCACTTTTAATAAATCTCATTTATAGTGTGTTCTGTTATGAATTATACTTTTGGTGTCATATCTTAGAGCTCTTTCTTTGCCTAATTTAGGGTTATAGTATTTTCTATTTTCTTCCAGAAGCATAATAGTTTTAGGTTTTACAATTAGATCTATGATCCATTTTTCACTGTTTTTATAAGTTTCAAGAAATGGACAAGTTTAGAGTCTTACATATAGATATCCCGTTGCTCCAGCACCGTCTGTTGAAAAGACCATCCGTTGAGGCACACACTATGGTGTAGCAGGTTAAGCCACTGCCTGCAACACTGGCACCCCATACAGACACAAGTTCAAGTCTCAGCTGCTCCACTTCCAATCTAGCTCCCTGCTAATGGACCTGGGAAAACAGCAGATGGTCCAAGTACTTGAGTCCATCCATGTGAGAGACTTTGGCCTGGCCCAGACCTAGCTGTTGTAGCCATTTGGGGAGTAGACCAGCAGATGGAAGATTCTCTCGCTCGCTCTCTCTCTCTTTTGAAAAAATCTTTAAAAAAAAAATAAATAAATAAAGACTGTCCCTCCCCCACTGAATCGCTTTTGCAACTTTTAAAATATTTATTTGAAAGGCAGAGTTACAAAAAGTGAGGGAGAGACAGAGAGATCAAGCTTCCACTGTTGCTTCACTGCCCAAATGGCAGCAGTAGCTGGCGCTGAGCCAGGCTGAAGCCCAGAGCCTGGAACTCCATCTACGTCTCCCGTGTGAGTAGCAGGGGCCCAAGTACTTGAACCACCTTTCACTGCTTTCTCAGGTGCATTAGCAGGGAGATGGATCAGAAGTGGAGTAGCCAGGACTCAAACTAGCACTCGTATGGGATGCCAGTGTCACAGACAGGGGCTTAATCTCACAACACCCACTCCAACCCCTCACACATTTTTCTAAAGGCCACAGCACACACATGCCCACGCAGGAATCTATTTCTGCATTGTACTCTCATCTCTGGGTCTGTTCTCTCACCAATACTCTGTCTCGATTACTGTAGTTTCCTCAGGGTCTTTCTTTTTTTTTTTTTTTTTTTTTTGACAGGCAGAGTGGACAGTGAGAGAGAGAGACAGAGAGAGAAAGGTCTTCCTTTGCCATTGGTTCACCCTCCAATGGCCACTGCAGCCGGTGCACTGTGGCCGGCGCACCGCGCTGATCCGATGGCAGGAGCCAGGTGCTTCTCCTGGTCTCCAATGGGGTGCAGGGCCCAAGCACTTGGGCCATCCTGGGCCACAGCAGAGAGCTGGCCTGGAAGAGGGGCAACCGGGACAGAATCCTGCGCCCCGACCGGGACTAGAACCCGGTGTGCTGGCGCCGCAAGGCGGAGGATTAGCCTAGTGAGCCGCGGCGCCAGCTCTCCTCAGGGTCTTAAAATCAGTGCAAGTCCTGATAAGGCTGATAAGATAGTGGAAGTCCTGTAACTTCATTCTTCTCTCAGAATTCCAGATAGACAAATGTCTAGTTCCTTTGTATTTCCATATAAACTTTATTTTTTAATTTATATAACTCCAAATACTAGGTTTTGTTTTGTTTTGTTTTGTTTTTTAGTTATTTTATTGATCTGAAAGGCAAAGTTACAGAGAGAGAGGGGGATCTTCCATCCGCTGGTTCATTCCCCAAATGGCCACAACAGCTGGGACTGGGCCAAGCTGAAGCCAGGAACCAGGAGCTTCCTCCTGATCGCCCATGTGGGAACAGGGGCCCAAGCATCTGGGCCATGCCCTGCTGCTTTCCCAGACAAATTAGCAGGGAGCTGGATGGGAAGTAGAGCAGCTGGGACTCAAACCAGCACCGCAGACAGCAGTCTTACCCTCTACACCACAGTGCCAGCCCCAACTTTTCAATTTTTTAAAAACGCCTTAGTGGATTTTAATCGGGATTACAACGCATCTACAGGTAAGTTTGAAGACAACAAGATATGA